TAAAGAATTTCTAAATTTATACATGTAACAATAATACATAAATTAATTAAAGAAAAAAAAATTTATTATATGAAATCCAATATCTTGACTGAAACTCAGACTTCACAACACCAGGATGTTTATATCCATCTTTAAATGGTATTTCAACTTTTGTATTTCTGCATTCTTTACTGTAATACCCAAACTGAAAGCATTTTAAACATGCATTATTAAAGCCATCCTTAATGTTAGGACAATCATATACCCCATGACCATAAAAATGACAAATATAACATGCTACTTCATTTTGGTGGTCCTTCCATGGTGTGTTCTCACTAGATACTTTTACATTATCAGCAGTTTCTAAATTGGCAACAACAGCAGCAATAGTATATGATATATTAGTATTAGATGAAGATGATGTGGGTGCAGATGTAATTGTTTAACAAAGACAATGTTGTAGCATTTGATGGTGGTGTAGCATTTGACAATGTTGTAGCATTTGATGATATTGTAGCATTTGACGATGTTGTAGCATTTGATGATGTTGTAGCATTTGACAATATTGACAGCGTTTTTTTTGTTTTTTCCTGAAGTTCAAAAAGTTTGTCATTTACTTTGGATATTTTATCAACTAAATATCTATTTTGGGTATTTGCATCCACAATAACTCCTACCAAATTATTAATTAAATAATTGTTGTTGTAGTTATTATTATTATTATTGATTAAATGATTGTTGTTGTTGTCATTATTATTGTCATTATTATTATTGTTAATATTATTATTATCAGTAGTATTGTCATGGCTTTTTTGAGTGTGGGAAGTATGTGTATCTGTAGAGGATGATTCTGTTTATAATATATATGAATATGGGGTTTGCATTAGCCATTTGAATTTTGATATTAGTGGCCTTCATGACTCTGTTTCTAGAAACAAAAATATTAATGATAGTAAAATTTGTAAGAAAAAATGCCTTATGTGCAATAAATCTAAATATTTTTTCAGTAGAGGTGATAATTGTACTCAACACTGTTGGAATATTATTGAATGAAACATACAAGTTCCATGTATTGGCCTAAAATCCTGTCCAGCATTCATGGAAATTAATAACATTGCTTCCAATATTTCAAATCAACAACGAGTGTGTAATATTTGCACTGAATGCTTTGAGTTTTTTGGTGGGCATTTACATGTATGCCAAGGATCAGGAAGAACAATCAAATCATGTGTTGATAATGGGTTGCATAAAGATGATGCAACTCTAACATTAAATTTATTTGCGGATTGGATCTTGGAAGTTGCTAATTCTGGAAATGATGATAAAAAAAAAATCTTGATAGTATACCTAAAATGACTCCCAATAAAAACTGCTATGAAATTAAATAACCTTGATTCTAACCCACAAACAGAACAACAAGATCTAAAAATTGAAGATTATAAAAAATTGGGTGAGAAATTGGGTATCTCCATTTGGAATTCACGTAAAGCATTTGAGCAGAATTGTGATATTTTAGAAAATCCCACCTGCTTGGATGAGTATTATGATGACCTTATTGGTTCTATAAAACAAAATTAATGAAAGAAAGAGAAAACAGCTTGGAAAATCATCAAAAGATTTTGACACTTCAACAGTTGTGAAGATTACTACTTTTTTTACCTCAATAATTTTCACAATTGCCTTCCCAAAATGGAAAATTTGGCTGACACAGATAATGGCTTCTCTTTGCCATAGGCCAAAAATGATCTCAAAACTACAATCTATACTCCATAAAGTTGGTGCTGTTGCTTATTCATGGGATCATGAAGTAAAATTACAAAAAAAATGAATGAAAAATGTTAAACCTGAATCAAGGCTTCTCAAAGGTCCTAACATCTGGAATGTGGCAGTTATAGATAACATTGATTTTAAAGATATTACCTTTCATCATGGTAATATTTATGATGCAAACAGAGGCTCATCACATGCTGTTGTGAGGGGAATCTTCCAATTCCATCTTCCATTTCCTGTAAATACACATTTGCAAAATTATCAGCAAGCAACTTCTGAATTAAAATTATTTGGAAAATCTACTTTTACTGACCAGTGGGAAAATACAATTGATACAATTTTTCAAAATCTTTTGCAAATCCATGGAAATAATTTTGATTTTCAGGATATTCATAAAGAAGTTGCTTCAAAAGTTGAATTGGGTTGCAAAATTCCACCACCAAATGTTGTATTGCTTAAGGCAGGTCCAGAAGCTAAAAGTGATGATGCAGTTTTTGAATCAATAAATATGTATATTAAAGATCTTGAACAAAATGTTATTGATTTAGCCTGTGATGAGGCTATCTTTAGAAGAACAAAAACTTATTATAATAAAAACTTGACTGGCAGATTCATTTTAGGCCAATGGCACACTTCAAAATCTATGGCTGATGCTTTAATAATCACCTTCAGTGGATATGGCATTTACAATATTGCTACTGCACTTGGTGTTCATTTTTTAGACCAATTGGAAAAAATGTTGATTATAGAGCTACAAGTCTTTTTTTAGATCTCATTTGGGCTGCTGTTGGAATATCTATTCATAATCCGGATTTTGGAAAGGCCACCAGTTAGGGATGAGAATGGGGAATTTTGATATGCAGATGTGTAATTTGTCCACTATTTCCAATTGTTGGAAAATCTAACTATGCTCAATCAGTTATGTTTTTCCTAGAATCAGCTCAAAGAAATCTTGGACAGAGAGAATTGTTGAAAAAAGTATGTTCAGTAAATCTAACAAGAGAAGGACATTACTTTGGTTTTGATGAAGCACTTGAATATTATGGTGTCAAATTCACAAAACAAAATATTACTGGAGATCCTACAAACCTTGATAACCTTATGCTACAAATTCAGTCAGTCCAAACAGAGTATGGAGAAACCACCATTAAAAAAAATAAGGAGCATCCAAAAAAGAGCCAAAGAGATGTGTTGTTGATGAATTAATCAAAGCCTTTGATCTGGAAGATCCTACAGATCATGATTTTTTTAAAAATGCAAAAGAAATGAATGAAAATGGCTTTAATAACATGTTCACATGTTATGAAAAGGGATTAAATTGCCTTGATAATCTCTTAAAACAAGAAGTTTACAAATCAATACCACATTCCACTGTTGGCAGGAGAAGTAAAAACCTTGGTATTGTAAAAGTCAAAGAGCATCTTAAAATCACTTAAAAATCAAGATGAAGAAATGGAAGTGGTTAGGGAAAATTTACCTGAAGAAACAATAGTTGTACCAGTCAATGTGATAATACAGGAGGATGCAGGATCTTCTTCACAAATAAATAAGAGACGTATAAAAACAAATGAGGAACTTGAAATCCTTAAAGAGGTATTTGATCACACTGAAGATTTACCAAGAGATGTAGCAAAAAGATTATCTGAAGATCTAATTAAATTACATAATTCATGGTCACCCACTAAAGTTAGAAATTACTGACTGGTATGATAATGTGAAAAGAAAAAATAAATAAATTATGATGTTAACATCACAAACCTTTTCCTCCTTCTTTTATATCTAATTATTTTTAAATATGTAAACAAATAATCAATTTAATATTAATTAAATATTGACAAAAAAAAATATCTAATGTTGAATATATTCATTTAAATTCATTTAATATAATTTTTTATACCTAGCATTAGTTTTCTTTTTTATTATCTTCCTTTCCCAAGAAAACCATCCGAGCCATATATTTTCTGAAAGCTCTTGATGTACTCTGTCTTATCATGCTAAAACAATCTCAATAAAGCTGATTTTTGAAAAGAATTAAGCTTCCGAAGTCAAAAACCATAGGTTTCTTTGGGAGGCTATTACTCCATGACTGGAAGAGTTACAGGCACATAAAGCTTGTGTTTTAAAGTCAAAGGCAAGTGAATGTTTTTACTTAGAGGCATGAAAATTGTTTAATAATGAGTTTATGTTCAATTCATTTGCTAAAGTCCATTCATTGTACAGAAAATGTGCCATGTCAATCATATATTAAAATCAGTCACTGTGAAATGTCGTCCAACTATTATCAAAATCTCTCATCCAGATATCCTATCCATTCATCAAAACCCTATCCAAATATCCTATCTGTTCATCAAATCTCTATCCAGATATCCACAGATATCCTAAGGATTTTACAAAAGAATTTTAAATCATGTGCAAGTATAACAGCTTGATTGCTTGATTTAACCATATGTCTTTAATAAAACAAAC